CAGTGGAACTACCTGCCTCCAGAAGCGTGTGAATGCTCCAACACTGGAAGTTTTTAAGAAGAGACTGGACAGCCATTTGTCTGAAACAGTATCAGGTTTCCTGCCTGAGCAGGGGGCTGGACTGGATGACCTCCAAGGTCCCTTCCAACTTTATTATTATTATAATGGGGGAAGCCAGATTCGTTTAACAACCATGAGATAATAATAATAATAATACACAGCTGGAATAGTGGACTAGACTCAAGCAGAACTAAAAGCAATGGATAGGAAGACCAGAAAAATAATGACAATGAATCATGCCTTTCATCCACAAAGTGACATTGACAGACTTTATCTACCAAGGCAAATAGGTGGGCGTGGAATGCTACAAGTACATCAGATGGTTGAAGAAGAAAAAATGGCTTTGGAAGAATATCTGAAGGACAATGATGAAGATGCACTGAAATTAGTATATCAGGAAGGCTTACTGACTATTGGAGAGACCAAACTGGCCTACAAGAAAGACCAAATGAAGAACAGAATAGAGGCATGGGAAGACAAAACACTACATGGCCAATACATTAAAAAATAGCTGGGAAAGCAGATAATAACAAGACCTGGCAATGGCTAAGAGCAGGAAAATTGAAGAAAGAGACCGAGGGACTAATTCTGGCTGCACAAGACCAAGCCTTAAGGACAAATGCATATAAAGTGAAAATTGAAAAGACAGCAACAGACGGTAAGTGCTGCCTATGCAAAGAAGCTGAAGAAACAGTGGACCACCTGGTAAGCTGTTGCAAGAAGATCGCACAGACCGACTACAAGCAGCGGCATGACAAAGTAGCAACAATGGTGCATTGGAAGATCTGCAAGAAATATCATTTGCCTGTAAGCAAAAACTGGTGGGATCATAAAATAGAGAAAGTCATAGAAAATGATAAAATTAAACTGCTCTGGGACTTCAGAATTCAAACAGACAAGCACCTGCAACATAACACCCCTGACTTAACAATTGTCGATAATGGGGTTCAATGCCTGGAGATAGCAGAATAGACGAGAAAGAATTGGAGAAGATAACAAAATACAAAGACCTACAAATAGAAATAGAAAGACTGTGGCAAAAGCATGTAAGGGTAGTACCAATAGTCATAGGCGCCTTGGGTGCAATCCCAAAACAACTGGAGCACCACTTGAACGCCATTGGCATTGACAAATTCGCCATTAGCCAATTGCAACAGGCGGCCTTACTAGGAACTGCTTCCATCCTGCGACGATATCTGTATTACATGACTGCCTATCCCAGGTCCTTGGTAAGGACTCAATAATGCCAAATCCAGTCTGAACATCTGGCTGACTGTGCGATGATGATGATGATGATGATGATGATGATGATAATAAAGTTGGAAGGGACCTTGGAGGTCATCTAGATTCTAGTCCAACCCCCTGCTCAGGCAGGAAACCCTACATCATTTTGGACAAATGGCTGTCCAGTCTCTTCTTAAAAACTTCCAGTGTTGGAGCATTCACCGCTTCTGGATTCACTAAGCAACTGCAGTGATTCGTTTAACAACTGTGGCAGAAAGGTTGCAGAATTGGGCACGACTCACTTAACAACTGCCTCGCTTAGTAACAGAAATTCTGGTTCCAACTGGGGTCGTAAATTGAAAACTATCCTGTAATAGGAAAATAGTATTTGTAATCTGCCATAAAATCTTCCAAATAGAGCCAATTTAGTGTGACATTCTTGGAGCACGTTGCCGCTTGGGGCAATCAAGTTATCCTAATTGTACTATTATCAAAGCATGGATGCAATGGATCCTCCTTATTAGCATAATTTTTTCTCTCTCTCTTCTAACGTGCTGCCTAAATTCAATAGTGAACAAATGGATAATATCTATTTTTTAAGTATTCCAATAAGAATCAGCATATTGCAGTTCTGGCTTTGGATGGCTAAGAAAGGCCAAAGGTCTGGGTGTAAAACATTTCCGCCAGCAAATCAGGGCTGCCCGCCAAATTGGGGGATTTTCCCTATTGAGATATTTATCTGCTGGAAGTCTAGAGATTAGCCAGGAACTCTGGGACCTGTCTCTAAACTTCTTCAGTATTTCTGCTAGGCTATTAAATCGCTTCGCTTGAAATGGGGATGGATGATTTTCGGAATCAAAACGGAGCGTCCGGGAATTTGAAGTAATACATATTTTGAAATAATGCTTCTAAGAAAGCCAAAAAAAGGGAAATTCAAATAACTTTCGTAGCTGATTATCTGTGAATTGGTATTCCCCCTGCTGGTAAGCTTTGGGCACTGCATTGAGATTTCAAGATGGGAACAATTTTAGCCAGTGTCTGTTGAGATTCTCAGTCATCCAGGTCAGAGTTATCTCAAAGACTTTTTTCTCAAAAATCAAGTGGGCTGTTTTTTCCTTCAGGAAGAAAACAAGTTTTTTCCTGAAGGAAAAAAACAGTCCAGTTGCCTTTTAACAACAACAACAACAATAATAATAAAGTTGGAAGGGACCTTGGAGGTCATCTAGTCCAACCCCCTGCTCAGACAGGAAACCCTATACCATTTCAGACAAATGGCCGTCCAGTCTCTTCTTGAAAACTTCCAGTGTTGGAGCATTCACAGCTTCTGGAGGCAGGTCGTTCCACTGGTTAATTGTTCTAACTGTCAGGAAATTTCTCCTTAGTTCCAGGCTGCTTTTCTCCTTGATTAGTTTCCATCCATTGCTCCTTGTCCTGCCTTCAGGTGCGTTGGAGAATAGCTTGACTCCCTCTTCTTTGGGCAGCCCCTGAGATATTGGAATACTGCTATCCTGTCCCCCCGTCGTCCTTCTCTTTATTAAACTAGACATACCCAATTCCAGCAACCTTTCCTTATATGTTTCAGCCTCCAGTCCCCTAATCATCTTTGTTGCTCTTCTCTGCACTCTTTCTAGAGTCTCAACATCTTTTTTACATCGTGGTGACCAAAACTGGATGCAGTATGCCAAGTGTGGCCTTCCCAGGGCATTGTAAGGTGGTATTAATACTTCACGTGATCTTGATTCTCTCCCTCTGTTAATGCAGCCCAGCACTGTGTTGGCCTTTTTGGCAGCTACAGCACATGGCTGGCTCATATTTAAGTGATTGTCCACTAGACTCCAAGATCTTTCAGAATTTTAGTCAGTGTTTCTCAACCTTGGCAGCTTGGAGATGGGTGGACATCAGCCAGCATGGGGAATTCTGGGAGTTGACGTCCACCTATCATCAAGTTACCAAGGTTGAGAAAAGCTGATCTTAGTTATTTGTTTTACACTCCTGTTGTGTCTGCACAGAGGATTTCCAGCCTTTTAAGGAAATTGAAGGTAGTATAATGCAAGATTCACATTTAGTGTCTATTTCCTTGAATAACATGAATAAAGAGACCTCTAGAATTCTAAAATCAGTTCATGTTGTGTCTGCCATTTTTCCAAGGGGCAGAAGGCAATGCAGACTAAAAGAGACCTGTCCTTAATCTGCCCTTTCTCCCCTGTCTCATTTTTATCTGCACATCAAGCGAACAAAAGAGTTTGGGACGACTGATGGGGTTGGAGCAAGGAGGAGAAGGAATTGAAATGTCTACCTACTTTTCATTTTAGCTGTTACCCATATTAGTGGGAAACATTTTTATTCCACCAAGTCAGATCAATTCCCCCCCCCCATAGGTCCATTGTAACTTCAAATGGTTGTAAGTTGCAAACTACCTGTAGGTAGTTTTCCCTGTGGATGAAGTGATAACGTATCTAATTCTCTCTTACTGTCCAGCTCACTTCTAACAACACCTAACTAAATCTGCAGTTAACAGACATTGGCCTGTGGAGAAGCAGCATTTGGCTGATGGAATGTTTTCTGTTTCGTTTTTTTAATATGTATGTGCTTGCGTGCACATGTATGTATTTATTTTTTGGCACTGCCAGCAATCTAACGGGCATGTTACTACTTTGACAGTATATTTTTACATCAGGTTAATCGACAGAAGGACCAAAAAGTGTCAGACAGCAGAATGAGCAGCGTAATGTAGCCACAAAATTAATGATTATAGTAATTAGGAAGAAAAAGAATAACTGGAATAAAACAAAGGGGTAAAAGCTGCAAAGTGTTGTTAAACAGCTCCAAAAACTGTGACCGTGTTGCCTGAAAGTCTTTTGTCAAAATAATGATAACTCTTCAACAGTTGACAACCAACACATATTGCTGCAGATCAAATGTAGATTTCTTCTTCCAAAATTGGATAATAATTAGTTTAACCTGCTCATTCATTCCCCCCCTAAGGCTGAATTTGTATTATGGCCACTTTTGAAGTTGAAATCAGCTTCACATTAATAATGTGAGTTTGCTGTCTCTTCCTGAGGGGGAACGATGCATATATTCTTGGCTAAATCCCTCGTACAGGTAGTCCTCAACTTACAACGGTTCGTTTAGTGACCATTCAAAGCTAGCACAGCACTGAAAAAAGTGACTTATGACCGCTTTTCGCACTTATGACCGTTGCAGCATCCCCACGGTCACATGATCAGAATTTAGACGCTTGGCAACTGGCAGGTATTTATGACTGTTGCAGCGTCCCAGGGTCACGTGATCCCCTTTTGCAACCTTCTGATAAGCAAAGGCAAGGGGGAAGCCGGATTCACTTAACAACCAGGTTACTAACTGAACAACTGCAGTGATTCACTTAGCCACTGTGGCAAGGAAGGTCATAAAATGGGGTAAAACAAAACCCGACAAATGTCTCGCTTGGCAACAGAAATGTTTGGTTCGACTGTGGTCGTAAGCCGAGGACTACCTGTATTTGGGATCCGTCACAAAGTCGTTAGAATGGAGTTTTGGGGGCATGGGAGAGGGTTAACTTTAACGTCCACCCTTCCGTTTGAAAACGAAACAAAACTTTTAAGAAAATACTCTTGTGTAGTTGAGTTCTATTAAAGGGGAGGAGACTAGCGGAGAGAAGGCAATTGCTCCCCAATAAGAGCAGGGTGGGCAGTGACATCCCTTTTAAATTTAAGAGTCGTTGGTGCGAGGATTTTGGAACAGATGAAGAACTAGCCACACAGCTGGAAGGAAGGAAGGAAGGAAAGGATTAACCCAGAGCAAGATTGGCTCTCCTGTGCTTAGAGATATCCAGGAGTGAAAGAAACGGCGATGATTTCTTTGATATTCTTGCTCAGTTTGATCTGTTGTAGCTGCAGTAAGTCAAATTTTTTTTTGTACATGTGTTTGTGTGTGTGTGTGTGTGTGAAGTCGCCTATAATATTTCATATTTGTATAACTCTTCCAAAATTTCAATTCATAAAAGCATTCATGCATATGCTTATAGCTAATACTGCATCCAGTTTTGGTCACCACGATGTAAAAAAGATGTTGAGACTCTAGAAAGAGTACGGAGAAGAGCAACAAAGATGATCAGGGGACTGGAGGCTAAAATATGTAAGGAACGGCTGCTGGAATTGGGTATGTCTAGTTTAACAAAGAGAAGGATAAGGGGGGACATGATAGCAGTCTTCCAATATCTCAAGGGCTGCCCTAAAGAAGAGGGAGTCAAGCTATTCTCCAAAGCGCCTGAAGGCAGGACAAGAAGCAACGGGTGGAAACTAATCAAGGAGAGAAGCAACCTAGAACTAAGGAGAAACTTCCTGACAGTTAGAACAATTAACCAGTGGAACAACCTGCCTCCAGAAGCGGTGAATGCTCCAACACTGGAAGTCTTTAAGAAGAGACTGGACAGCCATTTGTCCAAAATGGTATAGGGTTTCCTGCCTGAGCAGGGGGTTGGACTTGATGATCTCCAAGGTCCCTTACAACTTTATTATTATTATCATTATTATCTGAATTTAGTTGTGGGGAGACCTGGGGAAGAGAGTCAAAAACCAAATAGCACTTTGCAGCACAGATAGTGAACATCGATTGCCATTGGATACGCGAATCATTTTACCATAGATACATTTTGAAAACTGGACCAAAAAAAGCAATAAGAGGTGCATTTGCTGCATTGATTGATTGCCGTTTTATTTTGTTCAGCCTTTCTTGCTATAAGTTCAGAAATAGAATCAGAAAGTTTTAGGTTGGCTTTGTACAATACACTTAACGTGATTGTAGAATAGATCCATCTTCTGGGTCTGCATAGTTTATTAAAGCATCAATTAATTTTTCCAAGGACCTGTTTCCCTGTGATTTCATCCCCAGATTTGTCCTTGGGAGCACTGGAGAATCAGCCTTTACCTTTGGCAGAGCAAACAACAGAGTAACAGAATTGATGGGACTTCTGAGGTTTTCTAGTCCAACCCATTTTGCTATCTAGTCTCATCTTGAAAGCATCCCCAATCTCTGGAGGCCAGATGTTCCACTGATTAATTGTTCCCATTGTCAGGAAATTTCTCCCTAGTTCTAAATTGGATCTTTCTTTGATCAGTTTCCATCTCTTTCTTCTTCTTTCTGCTTTGGAAAATAAGTTGACCCCCACTTCTTTGGGGCAGCCCCTCAAATATTGGAACACTGTTACTTTGTCATCCCTGGTCCTTCTTTTCATTAGATTAGATTTTTCCCAATTCCTGCAGGAGTTCTTTATACGTCTTCAGATATTTCAAGACAGAAAGACAGGATGTAAGAAAAAAGAATATCTAAATAGCAATAGCACTTAAGCTTATATACCATTTCACAGTGCTTTATAGCCCTCTCTGAGCGGTTTATAGAGTCAGCCTGTTGCCCCCAACAATCTGGGTCCTCATTTCACCCACCTTGGAAGGATGGAAGGCTGAGCCAACCTTGAACCCCCTCAGGATCGAACTGGAGTGAGCAGTGAGTTAGCCTGCAGTACTGCATTCTCACCATTGCACTACCACAGCTCTTAAATGCTGATAGATTAACCCAGGATCTCCTGCACTGTAAAGCCGGGGTCTTCAAACTTGGCCCTTTTATGACTCGTGGACTTCAACTCCCAGAATTCCTGAGCCAGCCATGCTGAGGGGAAAAGGAGAGGTTTCCAAGCTGAGCCAGGCTGGCTCAGGAATTCTGGAAGTTGAAGTCCACAAGTAATAATACTAATAATAATACTAATAATACTACTACTACTAATAATAATAATAAAGTTGGAAGGGACCTTGGAGGTCATCTAGTCCAACCCCCAGCTCAGGCAGGAAACCCTATATCAGGGGTAGGCAACCTTGACTCTTTTATGACTTGTGGACCAACTCCCAGAATTCCTGAGCCAGCCATGCTGAGGGGAAAGGGAGAGGTTTCCAAGCTGAGCCATGCTGCCTCAGGAATTCTGGGCGTTGAAGTCCACGAGTCATAAAAGAGCCAAGGTTCCCCACCGCTGCTATTAGACCAACTCTAATCCAGTGGAACTACTGGTTTGTACCTTTAGAGCAGGGGTCTTCAAACTTGGCCCTTTTATGACTTGTGGACTTCAACACCCAGAATTCCTCAGCCAGGCACCCTAGCTGAGGAATTCTGGGAGTTGAAGTCCACAAGTCGTAAAAGGGCCCAGTTTGAAGACCCCTGAGGTAGAGGAGGTGGGGCTTACACTGAACTGGACGGAAGGTGATGGAAGTGGCAGTCGAGCTCAGCTGAGGAAGACATCACAGTGCCTAGAGCTGAGGAAGTTGTTCATTTGCCCCAAGCAGGTCTTCCGACTTCTCAGCCCGCCATCCAGCCTCGGAAGCCACTGGTGGAACGTGGAGGCACCCTTCAACTGATCTGTTCCATGGATTGTCCTGGTGCTGAAGTGGAATGGGAAGGCCTGGACACCGACTTGGGGAACATCATTTCAGACCAGGAACAGAGCATCCTAACGCTGAGCAGTGCCACCATTAACATGGAGGGGACAAAGGTGTGCTCAGGAGAGTGCCAGGGGGTGTCCTCTCTGGCCAAGGTGGAGCTGAAGGTATATTGTAAGTTCAAAAAGCATCTGCTCTCTGTTGGTTTTCTTGAATCCATTTCTGGGGGAGGAAGTGAGCAAGGAAAGGGAAGGGGGGCAACTTAAGAGAGAAACGGAGTTAGAAGAATAGAAGGAGGGAGGGAGGGAAGGAAGGAAAGAAGAGGGAAGGGAGGAAGGAAAAGAGAAAACAAAAGACGGAAATCATTTTTGCATACTTGTGTTGTTTGTACTCGTGAAAACTCAACTGTGTCTCAAGGGCATCTCTAACATTTTGGGGATAGACAATGATCGAGTGTATCTCTTTTGGAGCTTGTTACTATTGTTCTTCATAATGGGAACTATAATTATATTTCTAAGCCAATAATGCCAGTCCTCTGGGTAGATGCCAACATTTCCTGAAACAATAAGGGAAAACAAATGGCCTGAGAATATCATTACAGTTAACACAATGCAGAGCAATTAGCCAATGGCACAGAAAAAGGACTGCCCCTCTTCGGCATGGAGTTGGCACTTAACAACCGAAAGCAAAGCTACAAAAATACACAGCAGGTCTTCCCCTGCCTTCCTCTGTCTCAGCTTTTCCAGATACTTTGCAGCTGGACTCCCAGCCCAAGACGCTGACCGTTGGGCGGCCGGCTCGCCTGCTCTGTTCCATAAGTCACATCTACCCTCACGGTGCCCTGACGCTGAGCTGGTTCCAGGGAGATGAACCGCTGCAGGCTTCCAGGGAGATGGAGGAGGAGGAAATGGAAGAGGAAGAAGACCAGCTGTTTGTCTACCGCTCTGAACTGGAGCTCCCAACTGTGGCAGAAGCTGTAGCTTATAAATGCAAAGCAACTTTGAAGATTGACGAGCGGAACTTTGCCGAAGAGAAGATTGCTATGGCCATCGCCAGCCCCAAATGTAAGTATCACATGCACTTTTTGACGCTTTTCCCAGACTTTGAAACGGGGCCTGTGCCAAATCAGGATTGCAGGTGAATCTTTTTAATAATAATAATAATGATAATAATAATAATAATCAGAATAGACAAGAAAGAACTGGAGAAGATAACAAAATACAAAGACCTAGACTGTGGCAAAAGCAAGCAAGGGTAGTACCAATAGTGATAGGCTCCTTGGGTGCAATCCCAAAACAACTGGAGCACCACTTGAACACCATTGGCATTGACAAATTCGCCATTAGTCAATTGCAAAAGGCGGCTTTACTAGGAACTGCTTCCATCCTGCGACGATACCTGTAATACCATCAAACATCCACATCTGCCTATCCCAGGTCCTGGGTAAGGACTCGATAGGTAGACAAAATGCCAAATCCAGTCTGAACATCTGGCTGACTGTGCGATGATCCTCAATAATAATAATAATAGTTGGAAGGGACCTTGGAGATCATCTAGTCCAACCCCCTGCTCAGGCAGGAAATCCTATACCATTTCAGACAAATGGCTGTCCAGTCTCTTCTTAAAAACTTCCAGCGTTGGAGTATTCACCGCTTCTGGAGGCAGGTTGTTCCACTGGTTAATTGTTCTAACTGTCAGGAAGTTTCTCCTTATATTCTAGGTTGCTTCTCTCCTTGGTTAGTTTCCATTTGTTGCTTCTCGTCCTGCCTTCAGGTGCTCTGGAGAATAGCTTGACTCCCTATCTCCCTGAGATATTGGAACATGGCTATCATGTCCCCCCTCGTCCTTCTCTTCGTTAAACTAGACATACCCAGTTCCAGCAGCCATTCCTTATATGTTTTAGCCTCCAGTCCCCTAATCATCCTTGTTGCTCTTCTCTGTACTCTTTCTAGAGTCTCAGCATCTTTTTTACATTGTGGTGACCAAAACTGGATGCAGTTATTCCAGGTGTGGCCTTACCAAGGCATTGTAAAGTGGTATTAATACTTCATGTGATCTTGATTCTATCCCTCTGTTAATGCAGCCCAGCACTGTGTTGGCCTTTTTTTTGGCAGCTGCAGCACACAGCTGGCTCATATTTAACTAAGAGAAAAAAAAGGGGTACAAAGAGGAGGAAAGTGGGTTTTTTTTTTTTTACTTTTTTTAGTGAAGTAAAATACACACACGCACAAAAAAGAGAGAGACAACCTTAACTTTTGGCTTCGGATTTCTAACTATTTCAAGTCATTTCTAGAATAACAAAATCATTCTAATCATCAAAGTTTCTTTTTTTTTTTCAGTTCCCAGCAAAAAGTCCAAAAGCAATTTCCAAGTAGAAACAAAACTAGATAAATTCTTCTAATTAAAAGAGTTTGGCCATCTCCATAATTACAGCCAAATCTCATACTTGGAGAACTTGTCTTCATTTTAAACATTTTCATCCCCAATTTCATTAGTCAATAACTTTCACAATAAAGTATTATTCAGGTACAGCTTGGGTTTTTTTTCTTTAAAGAGCCAAAAATGAACTAGCTAAATCTAATTCAGTTCCAGTTTTGAAGAGTTGGCAAATTCTTCAGCCTTCAGCCCCATTTGGGGGGGGGGGGAGTGAAACAGGACCAGTAATGTTTTGACTTTGTTGTAATGGGTGAGGCCAATTTTTCAGGCCTGTTTTATGCCTAGGGCAGAGATCTCTAAACTTGTGGTTTAGAAATCCAGTTATCTCCTGTGCTAGGAGATAACTGGATTTCTCCAGGTGGGAAAAACAAAACTGTCTCGGTTTTTGATGCTTTGTGAATACCTTAATTTTAGGGAGGTCATTTTGCCAATAAAAACTCCCTTTCCTGTCATTCTGGAGATAATTGGAGGCTGCCAGTTGACCCCCTACTCACCATCTAACAGAAGAGACCTAAAGTCTTGAAACAATTTCTCTTAACAATTCTAAATATTTGGTTTCCAGCTATGCAGGAGCTTCTTGGTGCTAGTGAGACCATCGTCCTTACTCCCACATCTGGAAGGACAAGTCAAACATCTGCTCTGGAGCTACTCGCCACAGCTGATTGGAAGTCCTCACTTGGGACAACCACTAGCCTTCTTCAACTTCTTTCTACTGAGCATACCAGCTCTGGGGCATCTGTGGTTACACCAACAGCCATCCCCACATTGGAACCCCTAACCGAAGACCATAACTCCATCACAGGGGTCAACAATCTCACTGGAGCTTCTGACCCAACAGGTAACCCTCTGGCAGAGCTGGGGACAACCTCTCCAAAATTTGAGACAGGGTCCATCACCATGCACAATTCCATCTTGAGATGTCACTAGGTTTAGGTCAGTGATGGCGAATCTTTTAGACACCAAATGCCCAAAAACTGGCCCCGCCCCATCCCCTGCCCTGCCTGCCCGCAGGGCCACTCACCGCCTTCAGGGCCCGCCCGCAGATTGCCCAGGCAGCCCAGCAGCACCATGGCAGCCATGCCCTCTGCCTGCTCCCCGCAGCATCGTCTGCGCACGACGGGGCGTGAGGGCAGAGTCTTGTCCACGCTGCCTGGCTGCCATGTCCTTGGCTGCGCTGCTTCACATGGGCCACGCTCAGGGGCAACTCTTCTCCAGGGGGACTGCTGGTGAGGAGGGGGTCATGGGGGGAGGCGAGGCTGGGGCAATGGCACGTGTGCCCTCTGAGAGGGCTCTTAGTGCTGGCCATAGGTTCGTCACCACTGGTTTAGGTCTTTCAGCCAAACTCAGGATTGTTTTGCTTGTCCCTTTCTTAACAGACCAAGAATTAACTACCAAGCCTCTTTCCACGGCCAACAGTTTCTCGACAGGAGGGACCACTGAAGAACCAACCACTAAGCCTCTTTCTACGACCAGCGGTTTCTCAACAGAAGGGACCACAGAAAAAACAACCACTAAGCCTCTTTCCACGACCAGCGGTTTCTCAACAGGAGGGACCACTGAAGAACCAACCACTAAGCCTCTTTCTACGACCAGCGGTTTCTCAACAGGAGGGACCACTGAAGAACCAACCACTAAGGCTCTTTCCATGGCCAATGGTTTCTCAACAGGAGGGACCACTGAAGAACCAACCACTAAGCCTCTTTCCACAGCCAATGGTTTCTCAACAGGAGGGACCACTGAAGAACCAACCACTAAGCCTCTTTCCACGGCCAATGGTTTCTCGACAGGAGGGACCACTGAAGAACCAACCACTAAGCCTCTTTCCATGGCCAACGGTTTCTTGACAAGAGGGACCACAGAAAAACGCAAGGATGCCTGCCGCCCCATGATCGTACCTGTGCCTGCCGAAGGAACCACGGGAAGCGTCCTTCGCATCACATGCCAGACGTCAGAGTGCCACAGAGGTGTCCAAATCCAGTGGGTGGAAACCCCCATGGCCCAATCACGGTACCGCCTGGAGGAAGCCGAGGGCCAGTCGACCCTGATGGTGGAGAATGTCAGCTTGGAGCACCAGGGACTCTATCGATGCGTTGCGATTGCCAGCCCACCCCGGGTAGCCAGCCTGCGCATCGTGGTGTCTGCCGGTGAGTGAGATGAAATTGCACATTCAAGATACAGGTAGTCCTCGACTTACAACAGTTCGCTTAGGGACCAATCAAAGTTACAACAGCGCTGGAAAAAAGGGACTTTGACCATTTTTTACAGTCATGACCACTGCAGCATGGTCACATGATCAAAATCCGGACGCTTGACAACTGATTCGTATTTATGACGATCGCAGTGTCCCAGGATCACTTGATCCCCTTTTGCGTCCCTTTGATGAGCAAAGTCAATGGGGGAAGCCAGATTCACTTAGCCCTGTTAGCTTTAACTTAACAACTGCAGTGATTCCCCTAACAACTGTGACAAGAAAGGTCATAAAACGGGGCAAAATTCACTGAACAACTGCCTTGCTTAGCAACAGAAATGTTAGGCTGAATTGTGGTCATAAGTCGAGGACTGCCTGTATTGGGTTTGGGTCACATTGAGCGCACTAGGGTAAAATCTGGTTGGGTGACTTTGGGTTAATCACCAGGAGACTGTGAGTTCTAGTCCCGTCTTAGGCAGAAAAGTTGATCTGGCTCAATCAAAAGGAAACCATGAGTTCTAGTCCTGCCTTAGGCAGTGTTCCAATATCTCGGGCTGCCCCAAAGAGGAGGGTGTCAAGCTATTCTCCAAAGCGCCTGAAGGCAGGACAAGAAGCAACGGATGGAAACTAATCAAGGAGAGAAGCAACCTAGAACTAAGGAGAAACTTCCTGACAGTTAGAACAATTAACCAGTGGAACTACCTGCCTCCAGAAGCGGTGAATGCACCAACACTGGAAGTTTTTAAGAAGAAACTGGACAGCCATTTGTCCAAAATGGTATAGGGTTTCCTGCCTGAGCAGGGGGTTGGACTAGAAGACCTCCAAGGTCCCTTCCAAGTTGTTTTTTATTATTATTATTATTATTATTATTATTATTATTATTATTATTATTATTATTATTATTGGTGAATCACCCTCTCTCAGCCCAATCCATCTCACAGGCGTCACTGTGGGGAAAATAGGAGGAGGAGGAGGAAGAAGTATTAAATACGTTTGCTGCCTTAAGTTATTTATAGAACTAATAAAAGTAAGGTTAAAAAAACCTTAATGTATTTTTAAAAAAACATTTTTGAAAAGGTGTTAAAATGATTCATTGTAAAGTTTTGTTTTTTTAAAAAAAAAAATCTTTATGAACAATACTATTTACATTAAAAAAGAATGAACATATATGAATAAAGAAGAGATCAAATTATCATAAATTGGGGAGAAATGTAATTTACAGGCATAGGTCTTTAATATTTGCAACCTTAATATTTCTACACGTGGGAGGGCGCTCATCTTAGTTTTTTGCTCACCTACAGACAAAGGAAGGGTGGAGAATAATAGCAGTAGCAATAACAATAGCTCCTAGACCAGGGTTTCTCAACCTTGGCAACTTTAAGACTTGTGGAGTTCAACTCCCAGAATTCCTCAGCCAGCAAAGCTGGCTGAGGAATTCTGGGAGTTGAAGTCCACAAGTCTTAAAGTTGCCAAGGTTGAGAAACCCTGCCCTAGACTTATATAGTGCTTTACAGAACTCTCTTTAGCGGTTTACAGAGTCAGCTTCTTGCCCCCAACCATCTGGCTCCTCATTTTACAAACCTCGGAAGGACGGAAGGCTGAGTCAACCTTGAGCCAGTCAGGACTGAACTCCTGGCTGTGGGCAGAGTTAGTCTGCAATGCTGCATTCTAACCACTGCACCACCAGGGCTTAGATAGCGATAGCACATAGACTTATATACCGCTTCATAGTGTTTTACTGCCCTCTTTGCGCAGTTTACAGAGTCAGCCTATTGCCCCCAACAATCTGGATCCTCATTTTACCACTCTGGAAGGACGGAAAGCTGAGTTAACCTTGAGCTGGTCAGGATCAAATCTCTTGGTTATGGGCAGAGATTGCCTGCAATCCTGCATTCTAACCACTGCGCCAACAGGGTTGTATGAGGTGGGTTAATAGAAGATGGACGCATCTGTCTACTTAAGATACTAAATACATGGTTGGTGCACCTTTCCTTTTGCAGCCAGTGTCAACACAGATGCCCTTTTCACCATCGGAGCCACTGGATCCCTCTTAGGACTGATCATCATAGGCTACGTCTCACATCGATGGCGGCAACGGCGGCAGTGGTGAACAAGGGAAGGGCCAAAAAGCTTCCGTCCATCTCCTTGGCTACACCCCCTCTGGACCCTGGACTTCTCACCAGGCCATGAAAGCTATTCTTTGGCCTTCAAGGGCTATCAAGCAAGGACTTCGCTGACATGTTGCCAGGATTTTCTGCCTTGGGCAAGAGGTGGAAATGAAAAGCCTGTTTCCCAGGCTCTGCTTGAGGCCATTTGCCCCATCGATGGGGGCAGTAGGCGTTCACTGCAGAACTGCTGGCCGGATCCTTCTCCAGTTTTGATGTGAACTGAGTGGAACTGTGGGTTTGAGTGCCACTGTTTATGTCCGGCATAGACAATCCAATCTATTGTGAAAAGTCTAAGTCAGCAACTTTATTGACTTCTGCCTGTATTACAAGAATCTTCCCAGACTGCTTGCCTTTGTCTGGGAACAACCAGATAAGGTTCCATGGGACTTGGGGAGGGGGTCAAACCTATGTCTCTTGTGGCTGTGCCAGGACTCAAGGCTAAGTCCTCGCTCGACCCCCTCCTCCCTGCCTGGTTGGAAGTTTCCCAACAGTTTAGGATGGACCTATGCCAGATGGCCTGTTGAACAACGACGGGAGAGTAAATCAAATGCTGTTTCTCTCTCTTTTTTTTTCTGCACATCCTGAACCTACAAGAGCTGGTTCTCAGATGTATGCACTTTCTGAAAGTTGCAGGGTGTTTTCACATCCAGCCAGCAGGAAATTTATTTCCGAAAAGGGCTAAGCTATCTTTGGGGCTGGTGAGTATAGACTGGGAATTTTGAGAGCAACGTTTATTTCCCAGGCAAGATTGGTCCTGCCCACCAGCATGAGATAATAATAAAGTTGGAAGGGACCTTGGAGGTCATCTAGTCCAACCCCCTGCTCAGGCAGGAAACCCTACACCATTTCAGACAAATGGCTGTCCAGTCTCTTCTTAAAAACTTCCAGGGTTAGACCATTCACAGCTGATCACTACCATGCCTGCTTAGCTTTCTATGTTGTTGCAGGTACATTTGAGTTAATCCCAGTCAGGGGTTTATAACAGTTTAATTATTTGGTAAGTTGTAACACTACGAAGCTTCTGTTTTGTCCTCGTTCCCAGCATTAGGACTGCAATTGGTTTCCAGAATAATAAGGACTGTCAACAACCAATACCTAAAGGAAAAGAACCACTTGCTCCCCAGATCCCAGAAAGACCGTTAGGAAAGGGCATCAGAAATTCTCAACCTACATGGGGATAAATTGATTCTAAAAAGGAACTAATTCAGTTGCTGGAATTCTGGGGACACCCTCTCAATCCCTGTGGTCCTCCATTTATGAACACAATTGAGCCTAGCAATTGTGGTCCTAAGTCATGACGGTCAAAAAGCAGGTCTTTATGTGACTGACCGGATTTTACGACCTTTTTGCAGCAGTCATTGAGCGAGCACAGTCATTAAACAAAACCACCATGAATTGCTATGGGTAGCCTTTGCCGGAAATTAGAAGTAAATGCCGGTTTTCAGCAAAAATGGGGATCGCAGGTCCACGGGACGCTTGCCAAGTGCCCAAAATGCAGTCACATGACCATGGGTGTGTGTGTGTGTGTGTGGCTGTCAGAACTTCAGAACCAGATCGTAAATACCTTTTGGGCAGTCTGCCTTATCTCTGAACAGTCATTAAATGACTGGTCGTAAGTCGGGACTATCCTAAAACTTTGTACAAACAACTCTTGCAAGAATCAACGCTGGGAAATAAAACACGTTTGCTTCTAGGGCAGCAGATGCCAAACAAGTTGCCCGCCAGGGCAGAGGGCGGTTGGGAATTCAGAGACTCCAAAATCTAGCTTAGCCAACCTTGCAGGGTATTTGTGAGACTACAAAATACAATACGAAGGACCCGCTACCCTGAGCAACGTTAATCCAGTATTTTATGCTGTGCTAGCTGGGGTGACACAAAAGGGATCTCCCCATAGCCTCCTGTCTCAATGAGTCTTGCTAGAGACCTGGACTTAAAAAACAAAAACAAAACACTTTCCGTTTAAGGGGGTTGCCAAACAGCCCGACAAACTTCTGGCAGAACAACTCATTTTCCCCCCCCCCTTCAGTTTTTTGCTTATCTAAAATGGTGCAGTCCGTGATTGATTGGGTGCCATTAAGTTGTTGACTCCCAGCAACCTCATAGATCAGGGGTAGGCAACCTTGGCTCTTTTATGACTCGTGGACTTCAACTCCCAGAATTCCTGAGCCAGCCATGCTGAGGGGAAAGGGAGAGGTTTCCAAGCTGAGCCATGCTGGCTCAAGAATTCTGGGAGTTGAAGTCCACGAGTCATAAAAGAGCCAAGGTTGTCTACTCCTGGCCTAGGCTGAGACCCTCCAGATCAGGGATAGGCAACCTTGGCTGTTTTATGACTTGTGGACTTCAACTCCCAGAATTCCTGAGCCAGCATGGCTCAGCTTGGAAACCTCTCCCTGTCCCCTCAGCATGGCTGGCTCAGGAATTCTGGGAGATGAAGTCCACGAGTCATAAAAGGGCCATGGTTGCCTACCCCTGTCATAGATAGATGTTCTCCATGACAATCTCTCCTTCACCTGGTTTTTCAGATCCTCCAGTCTTGCCCCCATCACCACTGTAACTGAGTCCATCCCTCTGGCTGCTGCTGGTCCTTCTCTTCTTGTCTTTCCTTCCTTCTTTCCCAACACCAGAGCCTTCTCCAGAGAGCTGGGTCTTCCCATAATTTGTTCAAAGTAGGATAATTTGAGCCTGGTCATTGGTACCTTGAGTGAGAATTTTGGACTGGTTGATTTGTTCATTTGATCTATTTATTTGTTTCCTTGACTGTTTGTGGTATTCTTTAGCACAGCTAGTAAAAAAATAAAATTCCTGATTGCAGTTCATTTCCATTTCAGTCTCTAGATAGGCATTTTATCACCGCCTCCTTCTCTTACATTAACAATTACGTATGTTTTTTAAAATTGTAATGCGATCATTGCATAATTAACAGTTCTAAGAACCAAGGAAATTTCGTGTCTAAGAAGTTAGATTAGGGCGTTGTGAGTTTTGTTTCAAGGCCATCTTGAGCCATCAAAATTCACTGGGCAATTTTGCGCCCTTCTCTCTCTCTCTCTCGTCCTTGATCTGACCTATTCAGGATTATTGGTAGTCCTCTACTTGACCAAAACTGAGCCCGGAATTGCGGTCATAGGTTGAAGCATCATGTGACTGGATTCAAAATTACAAGTGGCTTTTTTTTACAATGGTCATTAACTGAACGCTCCAGTGTTAAGTGAATGCCACAGCTGTTAAGCAAATCCATTTTTGGGTGTGCAAAACAGGAAATAACCCTCAGAAACCAACAAAAAATATCCCCCAATTACAGTCATGTGATTGCAGAAGACTGAAAAAGCCAAAAAAGAGAGCTGGTTGTCAAGCACCCAAATGCAATCACGTGATTGCAGGGTGTGGTGTATGCATGTGTATATGTGTGTGTATATACACAGATGTTATCAAGTGCAGGAAATCAGGAGTCCAGACAACTCAAATGAATATATTTATTGTACGCACTACAAGAATCTAAACTAATAATGATCAAAGCAAACTGGGCATTGGATAAGAGTCAACAGAATTCAAGATGGGCTGGACTCAGATCTTCTGTGGGCGCAAAGGGACTCAAGACTGGTAACGCATTTGACCCCCCCCCCAGGCTCAGCCTGGTCATCTCCTACCCATACATGACCATTCTAACTCCAAAAATGGATCCAAGTAGCTCTGAGAAGGTTCGTCATAAATTTTGAACGGTCCTTAAGCGACCGACCAATTGTAAATTGAGAACTACCTATACTACCACGAACTCCTGGTAGGGAAACGGGACATCCCTTTAACAAATAATAAGATTGCATCTTTTGGGGGATATGTCTATGGACAACCAGGTCCTGGATGTCCCAAATGTGCTTTTTTTTTCAGGAGGCCACTGGATTGTCTGGTTTTTCTTTGAAGATGTTTCGCTTCTCAACCAAGAAGCTTCTTCAGCTCTGACTAAAGGTGTTCTGTCCCAGCCTACGTGAGTCCTTGTTAACCTCACAAGGAGAAACCCCTCTTCCAACAAGCAGGCTGGAAACGCAGGAAAAAAACAATCCCCTTTTATTATTCACAGACCTGAGTCAAAGTCCAAGGCAAACAAAACACAGTCCACAGAAACTTGATCCTCAACACTAACGGTTGCCTTCAGCAACCAGCACTTCCCGCACCTTCCCTTTTATTAGGCAGCCAAGGCATGGCTTCCTAATGCCTTCTCCTTTGCCTTTGGAGCCGCGCCATTGCTTTCCTCTGTCCTACTCTGTCTTACTGAAAAAAGCAAGGTTCTGGTGAAAAAATCAAGGTTCTACATTTGGGCAAGAAAAACCAAATGTACAGGTATAGTATAGGGGTACTTTGCTCAATAGTAGTAACTGTGAGAGGGACCTCGGAGTCCTAGTGGACAATCACTTAAATAGGAGCCAGCCACGTGCTGCAGCTGCCAAAAAGGCCAACACAGTGCTAGGTTGCATTAACAGAAGGATAGAATCAAGATCACATGAAGTGTTAATACCACTTTACAATGCCTTGGTAAGGCCACACTTGGAATACTGCACCCAGTTTTGGTCACCACGATGTAAAAAAGATGTTGAGACTCTAGAAAGAGTACAGAGAAGAGCAACAAAGATGATTAGGGGACTGGAGGCTAAAACATATGAGGAACGGTTGCTGGAATTGGGTATGTTTAGTTTAATGAAGAGAAGGACGAGGGGGGGACATGATAGCAGTGCTCCAGTATTTCAGGAGCTGCCCCAAAGAAGAGGGAGTCAAGCTATTCTCCAAAGCGCCTGAAGGCAGGAGAAGAAGCAACGGATGGAAACTAATCAAGGAGAGAAGCAACCTAGAACTAAGGAGAAACTTCCTGACAGTTAGAACAATTAACCAGTGGAACAACCTGCCTCCAGAAGTGGTGAATGCTCCAACACTGGAAGTTTTTAAGAAGAGACTGGACAGCCATTTGTCTGAAATGGTATAGGGTTTGGGGGTTGGACCAGATGACCTCCAAGGTCCCTTCCAACATTATTATTATTATGGTTCATCGCACAGTTAGCCAGATGTTCAGACTGGATTTGGCATTTTGTCTACCTATCGAGTCCTTACCCAGGACTTGGGATAGGCAGATGTGGATGTTTGATGATATTACAGATATCGTCGCAGGATGGAAGCAGTTCCTAGTAAGGCCGCCTTTTGCAATTGACTAATAGCGAATTTATCAATGCCAATGGTGTTCAAGTGGTGCTCCAGTTTATTATTATTATTATTATTATTATTATTATTATTATTATTATTATTATTATTACTCTATTTTCTTGCTGGCGTTTTCGTGCATCCTGGATATCTCCCAGCTGTTCTTCATCACTGTCCAACTCAGGCTCCCAGCACAGCTGTGTCTCAGCCCGAGCGCGAGTAGAGGGGCCAGGCTCCTCGTCCAACTGTAAGTCTTGGAGCTCCTCAGAGCCTTCCTGAGTCTGATGTCACTCCATCCCCCTCCCCCTCCTCCTCTGATTCCTCAGACTCAGCTTTCGGGTCCACTGGTTGGCGAGGAATCACAACAAGATGGTGGGGAATGGAAGGATTTAAAGAGAAGTGAAACTTCTTCAAAGAAAAGAAAGAAACCCCAGTTGCCAACTGAAAAAGCACCTTTGGGACAACCATGCCCTTGATGACTGAGAATCTCCATAGATATTCAGCTATGCACTTTGGGATGGACACCCTTCGAATGCTGCGGGAATATGAACGGATTTCCAGAAAACATTGCAGACTGCAGGAACCATTTGCGCTTCAGCTTGAGATGCAGATAACACAGACTCATCCCCAACAGCCTGTGTGCGTTTTCCAACAGTGAAGGGACCCAGGGCAGAAAACATCCTGCAGCCGAGAAGGCTCCACACCCATTGGCACCACTCAGGTGACCCTAAGGACACAGGTAAACCTCCAAGTGTCCTCAAGGACTCTCTAAAACAGTGGTTCTCAACCTTTTTAATGCCGTGATCCCAACCGGTCGTAAGTCGAGGACTACTCAACCAGTCACAAGTCGAGGACTATTCAACTGGTGCAGCACCGTTTGCAGAATGGGACTTTTGGCAGGCTCAGCAGGGCAGAGACAGCCTGGACAACTCCTATTGGCTTTTGAAAGCCAATAGAATTAGACTCTATTCAAGAGAGTCTATTCTATTGGCTTTCAAAAGCCAATAGAATAAAAGGGAGTAGCATAGCTAAGGAAAAGGGGGGAAAAATGGCGGACTGCGTTGTTTGGTGACCCCTGTGAAATGGTCGTTCGACCCCAAATGGGGTCCCGACCCACAGGTTGAGAACCACTGCTCTAAAAGGAGGCAAATGACCGGCTGTCTGCAAGGAGTATAAATCCTTCCGTTCCCCACCATCCAGTCAGAGCTGAAGAAGCTTCTTGGATGAGAAGCGAAACGTCTTCAAAGGAAAAACAAGGAAGTCCAGTTGCCCCCTGAAAAAGCACCGTTGGGACTTTTTTGGGGTACCAGGACCTGCATCCCCCAGGTTCTTTTAGGGAGCAGTTTTTCTTCTCTTCTTTCAAACTGTTGAGCTGCTCGCTGGCAGGAAAATTAGACCTTTTTGTGCAACGTGCAATTAATATATGGACTTTGTCATCCAAAGGTGTAGACTTCTGAAGTCACTGAAGGCTGTCCTTTCATTCATTTACGGCAGGGGTCTTTAAACCGGGCCCTTTCATGACATCTGGACTTCAGCTCCCAGAATTCCTCAGCCAGGCACGCGTCCACAAGTCCTAAAAGGGCCAAGTTTGAAGACTCCTGCTCTAAAAGAATGCAGATGACCACTGCCCACCATCCAGTCAGAGCTGAAGAAGCTTCTTGGATGAGAAGCGAAACGTCTTCAAAACAAGGAAGTCCAGTTGCCTCCTTTGGGACATAGTTAAGCAACCAGGCACAGAGTACTTGGCTGCCCTCTAGAGGCAGTTTGAGATTTCGCAATCCATATGTTAGCTCTGCTCCAACAAGCCAAAATTTTGCTTTTTGGGAGGCTAGAGATTCCCCCCCCCCCCAAGAGGCTGCCGAGTACAGATTCCCAATTCGAAGGCAGATGTTTTGAAAACAGTTGCTAGGGAACCAAAGGGGCAGCATCTCACCCTCCCCTCCACGTTCTGCTTG